CACTGATATGTTTGCTCGTTCAATTTTTATACTTCCTAAAGGCTCGAGTGCACTTGAAGCGAGAGACTGACTCGATACAAAATGTTAAATTGAGTGAAAGCCTAAGCCTCGGCTTTGGAGGGAGAGACAATTGTCCGTTATGTCGATTTCAAAATTTTCCATGACCCTCCAGAAGAAAAAGAGGAGAAGTCCAAATTTAAAAACATTTCGCCCTTCAAAATAGCTGTGGAGTGGGAAGGGCGGGTGGTGGGTAGGATGGTTTCTAACAGAAAATTCAGTTTAAAGGAGGATTTTACGATTAGAATGGAGGTCGAGGAAGAAGTAATTCACCTAGTTGAGTAACCCACGGACCTCCTGAGGGTGCGAACTGATGCGCAATTCGCATCGAAAAATTTGACCTCGGCGACCTATTATGCCTCAAAGTTGGCGGGTCTGGCGATCTCCGCCCACCGACCAGCTGATCACTCGCCGCAGATCTATACGTGGGATTGATTAGATAGCAGAGAGAGCGTGATGTTGAGGAGGGCACAGCGATAAGAGTCGCATCAATGCGCAAATCAGCGGGGAAGGAAGGGGTCCCATTTCTCGGGTTCTGGGCCGTTTCTCATGGTTCTTCCTTCTTTCGTGTACCAATCACCATCCCTGAGTTAATTTGAAATGGGTTGCCTTCCCAGCGTGAATTCGTCCTTTAAGCATATTTCGCGAATTCTTCGGAAAAAATGTCGGCTAAAGACGACACCCCCTGTTTCTCTCTTCGCTGCAACACACCCTTGTTCCACCATTACGACTCCCACCCCACTGAAATTTTAAGGCTGCTTTCATAGTCTGCGCCGTCGCGGCGCTGTCCGCATGGTCCGTGCGGACCGCACGGACAGTGCGAAGAGCGTCAACACGCGCACTGGCGCATGGGACGTACTTGGCACAGAGTGGACGCTTTGGCGTCATGCGCCAGTGCGCGTGTTGCGCTCTTCGCCCTGTCCGTGCGGGTCCGCACAGACTGTGCGGACGGCGCAGACCATGAGAACAGCCTAATGCGACTACCCCTTAACCACCATCACCCGCAGACAGGAGCCAAAGTAACCACCCTCCTTGAATTTGGCACAACGGATGCTTGTTGTTTGAAAAGTCTCCGTGATAGTAAAACGCTACGGTTTATCAAAATTTGGATGTGTGAATTGATAGCGTTCATAAGCAACACTCTGGGAACGAGCGCAGAAGGGCAAACAAGCCGGTTTTCAACGGTCCGATGAGTGACCGCTACTGTAGTCCACGTTGGCAGTGGAGCGCGAAGCTACACTACTGTTGTGTACCCACATGTTCTAGCATCAACTTGAGAGGGTATACTGCATCGTACAGCAAGTGGCAATACCCCAATCCACACTAGTCGCCTTTGAGCAACTATCCAAAAATACACGCAGCCCTACGGTTGGCACTTTTGGAGATTTTCACGACCTCTCCCCCTTTCAGGTCTTATGATACGACCCCCACCCCACCCTCACCCTTTGTGAACGCCTGTGTCTGAAACTATCAGATTACATATGGACGTGGAACAAACTCCGCGGTGCGGAAGTATTTCTGATTTTCACCTGTGTTCCTGCCCCCATCAAATAAAGTCTTAAAGGAATCCTCCATGGAAAAATCATGATTCTTATTTCAGAAATAAAGCATTGGCTCGAAACCAAGATGTGATCACTTGCTTATTTGCCATTGGCAAGTCCGCACTTTTGACAACATTTCGCCATCGATCTGGGCAATCAGCTCGGTCAATTACTTAGCCGGCTTGGGCCCCACGTTGAAACTCAAGTGCTCAAAGAATTCGCTGGCAGCCGTGGGTGCTCCCGGCTTCCCAGTGAAGAGGAGGGATAGTCGCAGGTCGGTCGGATTAGACAGACGAAATCAATTTACGGTGAGAATAATGCAAGTAGTTCTGGTCAACGAACGAAACAGCATTTGGTGTGTTCTGGGTAATGAACAAAAGCCACGACCGTTTGTAGACATAGATTGAGAACATAGTTGAAGCGAGCCACAATTGCAATGCTGCAGTTTGGGTAATAACTGGCACACGGCTTCGAGTTGATTAATTCGTCCCAAAATTTTCACTTAGGCCGATGTCAGACTTTGCGAATCGCGCGATTCGCTAGCGTCTGCGGTCGCGTCGCGGCCAGTGAATCACTCAATTGGCTGGTACCGCAACGCGACCGCGGACGCTAGCGAATCGCGCGAATCGCTAGTAGCGAATCGCGCGATTCGCAAAGTCTGACATCGGCCTTAGGAGACAGTTCAACTGGGTTTCGAGATTTCCTATGTAAGGATGCCTATTCCAGGGCAAAGAGCATATTTTCGCGGATGTGTGGAGTCTGACGAGACTATAAATACGGTCAAATCCAGCAATGGATTCTTATGGATTCTACGATGGACTCAGAAGAAATAATGTGGAACGCAATTTTCCGATGAACTTTATGATTTCTATTCGGCTAACTTTTCTAATGTTCCTATTAGTAGTAACATTTGTATGAAAAATCTTGTTTCTATAGTAGATTTTGTATCCATTTTGAAATGGTAATACTTCCCAGTTCTTCCTCACATGTTTTTATGTCACCTTCATATGTAATGAGCAAATTGCATGGTCATTCCAACATGCGTGAAGATCTGCCGGATTTTTATGAAAGCGTAGTGGAAACGCTTATTCTTTGAGGACCCCCATGTAGTATATGGATAACCTGAGTCAGTTTTACTGAATCATCCAAGTTTAGATAACTTGTGAGTATGATCGATGGCGGCCGTGTGCAGGCTGTAGAAGTGCATGCAAGGTGCAGGCTAGTATTCCCACAGTGTAAGGTACTTGAGATTCTCTCACATGGTCGTAAACCCAAGCCACCCCCTCATCTACTAATGTCGATCCGTCTTCTGATCGAGCTGATCAGTCAGTCTGGAGTTTTGCCGAGCTCACGGGATGTGAGCAGATCGGTCTCTCTCGGAAAACGAGAGGGGAGTTTCCCGAGATCGTTGCAGGACGACTAGGTGATCAACTCAGGGGCTACCATGGCTCCGAAGTCGCACGATGCGAGCCTCGTTCTCTTCATCATTGGAAAATGGCTCTTTTCCAAGTGAGATTGTAGATGCAGGCTCTTCTTTCAGAAAAACAAGACCACAGTCAGCTCCAAAAGTGGAAAGGGAGGAACTGGCATGCGGTCATGGTGCGCGAGATTTCAGAGTTACAAAGAAAACGGAACGATGTCTCGGCATAATAGATTCTACTTGGCAAAAATCAAAAATCCCAATCTTCAGAAGTTATTACGGGTTGGTTCTTTCACAAAATCAGCTGCGCTGTAAAAACGATTAAATCTTTACTCAACGACGAAAAAATTTGAAAGTAAGTTGCACTTTTCATCCTCCAATCGTACGGCGCGCACATTCAAGCATAGTCCAGTAATCATGCATTTTTGTGGGTAGGAGTATCCAGTGGTATGACGTCCTCCACTTTAGTTGCACTGAGCTGTCCTGCCGTGGAAGTGATTTTATAGATCTAAAAAGAAAGTTTTCCCTATCTGTTTTCTGTGAATACTCACTAACTAGCTCAGCAATTTATGCCAAATGGTCGGTTAATAATAGGGCCGCAGAAATGAAGTATTCCACGATGAGGTCGGAGCTCGAAAAAGAAGACATGTTCCTCGTCGAAAGGCAGGCGGTGCCTGAGATGCGGGACGATGCGCGTTTCGCAGCGATGAGAATGCCTCAGGGCTTCATATACATCCCAACCATGCTTTTTTTTACGGTTTATACACTTCGAAGTCGTGAATTATCGTTTTTTTCTTTTTACACCTTTTAACATTTCACTGATCCTGTCAACCCTTCACTTCACCCGAGGTGGCTCAGAAGGGTTGGCGAAATACAGTGAGTTGTCTGAGTCACGGGCAAAACGATCCACCTCTTTCACTCAATGCATTTACTTTTTAATGCAGTTTCCTTTTTCAATTTCTTAGTAAGGCCGTAACTTTGCGCCGTGACACGCCCACACTATCGCCATCTGAATTCTTCGGCAGAGAAGAGTGTTTGCCGTTCAACAGGAGGCCATGGATTGCGAATGAGTACCGGCAGAGAGGCTCTATCGTAGCGGCAAGACAGGCAGGGTCACGGACGATGTCAAGCAGTAATGAAATGATTTTCGTGCCAAGTTAAGTGGAATGCCATTGCACGTCCTACATCGCACAGCACGCGCTGCGACTCGTCGCTGACTTGCCCTCTTTTAGCGCGACGGGCCTCCTGCCGTGTATCATTAGAATCCTACTATATATAATCGGCTAAGCGGTTGTGTGTGTGTGTGTGTGTGTCTGACCGGAAATTCATAACTTCGTTCCCCTTTGTCCCAGAGCGCTCAAACTTCTAGGGTATATAGGGGGTGGGCGTGAACACTGATGATGGGTGGCGGGAAGTGATAAGTACTGATAGAAGCTGATAACGGGCGTCAGAATGCCGATGTCACCAACTTCGTTACGCCGTTCGCGTTGGCAGTGGATTGCTAGCACTCATGAATATTGTGTAGGGTAGGACTGGGACCCAAATGGTGAGCGAAGGAAAGTGATAGCAAATGATAAGGGCTGATAAGGGCATCGGAATGCTACCGTCGTCAGTTTCGCAACGCCCTTCGCATTTGACCCTAGGATGTTCGCACTCATGAATATTATGTGGGGTGAGGCAGGGACCAGGGCCCGCCCGTTGAGGAGCCAATGTACCCTCGAACGATTAAGGTGGCTAGCAATTGATAAGTTAGCTGATCAGGGCGGCGTCGAAGTGTGGACGACCACAAGTTCGCGTTTGCCGTCTTCCTAGCAGAGTCAACCCTGCGTTGCGCAGTTCTCAACGGCCACGTTGCGCAGTTTCGCCCGATTAGACACGTTCTCTCGCGCGAACATTCACACTCGCATGCTCGAGCCGTCTGCGTCTCCGCCCATACAGCGTGCGTTGAGGATCTCTCAACGTGCCGTTGCGAACTGCGCAACGCACGGTTGACTCTGCTTTGCAGTAACAGAGAACCTTGGCTCATACAAGTGGCATGAGGGATAGGACGGGAACACGGATAGTGGTTGATCGAAAGTGATAACAACTGATAACAGTTGATAAGGAAGTTAAGAATTTGAGTACCACTAATTTCGTTGTAGCCTTCGTGGCGACAGTAAAACACTAACTCCTACACATTGCATGGGTGTGGGACGGGAACACCGATGGTGAACGGTATGAACTGATAACAAATGATAAGGAACGATAAGGAGCATCTGAATGCAAATGTCCCAATCGCCAATCTGCGTTGGTCAGTCATCATTGTGCAAACATCAGGGAGCGGGTGTGATGGTGGGTTGGCAGGAGTGGTAAATGAGTGTCAAATACTGATAAACGTGGCGACAACTGAGTGTGCGCTCATTCGAACTTGAACCAGGTTCTTAGCACGTGAATATGTTCAATTCCTAACCTTTCACCCAAAAAGCAAAGGAACTTGAGCCACTCAACTCTCTGGACTGACCAATAGCGAATTTCCATCAGAGCTAGGCTAGATGCTGATTGATTGATCATATTTCACTCCCACACCGATACCCTAATTGTGAAAATTCTATAGACCGCTAAATCATCCGAGCTCGATATGAATGCTGAATGTTTACGAAGTCATGATAAGTACCAGCTTCATTCCGCATGCACTGCGCGTACTACGCGATAATCTTCGGCGAAATTGGACAATCTTTGGATCTCATCTGACGCATCTTTCGAAACATCTTACTATTGGTTTCTCGGCCACGTGGCCTAATATTTTGCGAGTTGTCCAGTCTCACTGAATCCCACATGTGATGCGCGCAGTAGCGTGCGGTATTCAGTGAGACTGGAGAGGTTGAAACACTGGTTCAATAAGTACAGGATAGACGCGGCAAAAGAAGCGGCCCACTCCTCAGGTTCTGAACCAATTTTCTTCTGGTTTTTTCTTATGGTTTTTTTCCTCATTCTGCTATACTTCTCCTCCCTCTTAATTTCGTTGTCTCTTCTGAGGAAGAGGTAACTGCGCTCCTTTCTAGAAATACTTCGGTCGGCCAGTTCTAAGCCAGCAGTTTTTACATTCTGTTGTTTTTAGACTTCGAGGCCAATAGACGATCTATTCTGGTTTGAAGTTCTTGCTGCCTTTGTCAGTATTATAGCACCCGTTCCGTTTTTTATTCTTCCCGTTTTCTTCTTGTTCTTCTGAAAGAAGGCTTACCATGGAAGTCTTTGAACGTGGGTAAATTTATATTTTCTAACCGAAACACGTACCGCTTCAGCGCCTCCGTGGTAGAGCGGGCACATTGATTCACAGATTTCATCCACAGTATTCTTCTCCTGAAAAGTGAAAATAAATAAAACATAACAGAGTTAATACAAAAGGAGGAACTTGTCGAAACGTCAGACGAATGTAGGGGAAATTTCACCCTGAAAACCTATTTGGCACAGAGGTATCAGTTGTATCAGAGTGCTTGAGCTTTATCGAATCGACTAGGAATGCGCCATGCATTTCACTTTCAAGCCGTATCGTGGATATATAGATCTGTGGCAGAACAGCCTGTGCTAGGCGTGCACCATGATCTGCTTGTTCAGGTAACTTTCAAATTAGCTTATTCATTCGGCAATTCTAGTAGTTTGGAATTTTCAAAGTTGGTGCTGAAAAAAAAACAAATCTGAACGTCGAAATAGGGAAGAACATGAGAGGGCACTCTGTAGGAGAGGACGCAGACACTGCGTAGGCTGCGAGTGATTGAGAATTGCAGCTGCGTCAGCGGTCGCGGTCGAGGGCAGTACTTAAACCTTTGTCACGCACTTTGGAGTCGTACCAGCACCTTGATTTTTGTGCTTGAGAACCCTGCCTTTTCATTCACGGAAAGAATTGCTAAAAGGATCTGATCTTCTGGGCTGCATTTGTTTCCGTCTGTGAGCCCTAGGACACAAAATTTCCGGAGCATTTCTAGAATGACGAAGAAGTGCCCGCGCACGGCATGTAACCGACCTGTGCAGGACGTGGAGGCAGCAACTGCTCTCCCACCCCTGCTTATCCTAGAGTCAGCCAGTCTATGCAAGCCTTATCTGGTGGGATGAGGGTATTCAAATGTGCAACTTGTATCTCACGATGGTAGATATAGATGTTCTCCATGAATATTTTGCCCTTTATTGGCCTCCCAGAGAACTTCAGAGAACATCTTCCGAAGTATATTTTGATTTAGGCCATGGCTCTTGCTGACTCCAGCAGTAAAATTTAGGCCTCGTTTAACCAACAATGTGTGTGATGCTCTATCAATCTCTTCCTTGATCCGTGGTGGAAATGTAACACACGGCGCATTCCCTAGGTGTACGTATAGCCAGAAATTTTTCAAAGAATTCTTGCATAATCTTAACAGATACATGACGGGATTTGTTTCCCATGAAGTTGTGGCGAAGACCTACCCATGGACCGCACCATCCTTCCTGGAAGATGACGGTGATCTCATAGTCCGTGGAATCGTTTATGGTCCGCTTTTTTGCGTCCATCAACTGGAAACATGTCATCAAATGTGGTGAAACTTTGCTGGTTTACTAAACTAGTTTCTGCAAATATTGAAGTTTAAAGATGACTTTATTGAAACACAAAAGTAGAAAGAAATTGGTTTGGTTTATGGCTACTACTGTTATTCCATTGTGAAATGTTCGCAACTGCCCCCAACCCAAGCGGCGGAATCGTGAGGTATAAGAGGCGAGA